GTATGGTGCTGGTTCTTCCTCCCCGGGTGCAGCACCTTGCACTTGTCGGTGTTGAATCCCATCCTGTTCTCATCCGCCCACCCCTGTAACCTGTCTAGGTCTGATTGCAGCCTATTCCTTCCTTCTAACGTGCCCACATCCCCCCATATCTTAGTGTCATCTGCGAATTTGAACAGGGTGCTTATTACCCCCTCGTCCAAGTTGCTGATGAAGATGTTGAACAGTGCGGGCCCGAGGACCGAGCCCTGGGGGACCCCACCGCCCACATCCCACCAGGTAGATTATAATTGCTCATATTTCTTATGCAATGCTTGAGTTAATTCAAGAAATACTAAGCATGCAAGAACTTCCTGCGGGCACAGAAGTCCACTCATATGGAGTCAGATACTCCACACAATTTAGTTACTTAAGTCCAAGAGGGCAAACAGAAGCCACCTAGATGAGCCACTTTGGCTTCTTATACTTCCTAGGCAGTCTCAGAAACAGGGACCATAATCCAAGACTCCCCCATCTGAGGAAGTGCCCTTAACATTGGGCTACTGAGTTGCGTTCCCTCTTGGTTATTCTCTTTCTGACCCAATGAATATTGAGTTCTTTTCTGCACAGTGGCTCAGCTTCAACAGTCAAGGTTCTAGCCTGGTAAACAGGCACTCTCCTGGGAAGTATGCAATGCTGAATGGGAACACCCTCAGACTAAGAAGGAAATTGAACCCTGATCTTTCTTACGGAAGAGTTCTCATGCAAAAGATCACCACCATCATACCCAGCGGGCACATCTACATGTTCATGAACATGCTGTAGTTACTGTGCGTTAAGTTTATTACTTGTATAACCAAGTACTAAATCAATAAGCAGTAACTGGCACTACTGTGCAGTAGCACCAGTGCATGGCTTTTTAGTAACGCTAACTGCACAGTAGCCTAATACTACTGCAAAGTAGTGTATTAGTACGGTTGTTGTCTTGCATGCTACTGTGTGGTTAGTGTCTCATGTAGATGCACCCAGTTTCTCTTCCTCCAGCTTTATCCTAAAAGGGAAGGTAGAGAGGAAGTGATCCAGTCTATATACAAAGGGATGACTTCAGTACCCAAGTATAGGCAGAGGTTTCAGATTGTGAGCTCTAATGGGACATTAAATCTAAGGGATGAATCAGATTGTAAGGCAAGATTTTCTTCAGCATTTCCTGTCGGCCTGCCCAGCATCTTTCCACCTGATGTGCTGAGTAGTGTGAATCCCAATCCAAGGTACCTATACTTCTGTTTGTGAAATACACTGTTAGGGCTTGGCACCTAGGTTTTAGGCAAAGGAATACTCAGTGTCACCATCCCCAAGTCCCTTTGTGAATCTTTTCCTTACTTTTTAGTTTTGCAGACAAAACAAACTAGTTTGCTATTTCAAAGTTTGAACTGTTTTCAGCTACTTTATGCTTCAGGCTTAAAGCCTACTTTAGGTTTTTTGTCTAATAGTCTGCCTTCCAACTGTACTTTTTCACTGTCCTTGAAGGACTATGCCCAAAGGAAATAGACAAACCAAATGCAAAACTTGTTCTAAAAAATCTCCCAAAGTATTTTCATTAGCAATTTACTTAGAGAATTTAGTTCCAAGAAAACTGGAAAAATCTAAGTAATCACTTATGAAATCATCATCTGCTACAAATATAGATAACGTATGTCCTGGGATTTTGTTTTAGAAAAATACTAATATTAAACTCACATTTTGGGTCAGATCCATCTGCACTGGTAAATCCAGCATCTTTTGCTGACACCCAAGCTGCAAAGCAGTCACTCTCATCTAAAGTAATTGTCAACATCTGTTGAGAAACACACACCAACTAAACATACTGCAATATTCTGTATTAAGAAGGCTACAGACTTCTTTGTGCATCAGAAAAAACACTGTAAACTGCAGCTACATAAGCCCAGCCAAGTTTGATTATGAGTGGGTTATCTACAGACATGATTTGCCAATGTATATTACACTGGAAATTGCTACACAACATTAAACTGACAATACTTCTTCAAAAGGAATCCTATAGCTCTTATCCAAAGTCTCAAAATCCAAAATTTACTAATATGCTGATCGAAATGTTTAATTTGATCACATAAACACTGCTTTCTAAAATTATATCACAGAAAAGAAATATTGAAGTAAGCTTCACAAGCCTTCAGAAGTGTATACAACTTGCATCCAGTCACAAAGATGACAGAAGGCCCATATTAAGAAACCTGAGTCTTACCCCAGTTTTCAAGTCTACTGAGAACCAGTTTGGCACATACACCATTTTAAATCTTTTTTTAATTTCTTCTTCAAAATCAACTTTCCCAAGGTCTTCAACTTTACAGGCCTGAATAACAGAATATTGAAAAAAAACAAAACAAATTTCTCAGTCGCAAGATTAAGTTACATTTGCTCTTAAAAACTTTATATTTTCATTTTACAGAATTAATAAAAAACTGAATTCTCTCATATACTTACTTCTATACCACACTAAAAATCAAAGATTTGCATTTAATATATAATTTGCACATACCTTCAAAACATCCCAGTATGCCACATTATTATTTGTATCTTTGGTTAATATATGTCTCTTGTCATTAAGAATGTTGCACTGAATAATACTAGCACCTCCTAGCAAATATAAACAAGATAAAAGGTCAGTATTGCCATTTAAAATTTAATTAACAAAACACCCAATGCCATATGCAAACAAGACACATTACTACAAGACTATGGCTATTATTTAGTTCTACCATTTTAGGATACCTGGATATTGTATGGCTTTAAACCCACAACTATGGATAAAAGAATATTACACAAAAAGATACACAATTCACAGTCAGACTGTCCCACACCCTTCAGCTGAAGGCAGAGTACCAAAGTATCCAGAACATGAGCCAAACAAATTTACTGCAAAATTAAAATATATCTATTATGACTTTGTTCAGTCTCAGACGCAGAATAAAAAACTTTTTTTAAAAATCACACTTCTCTAGAGCCATCATGGCCTGAAACTTTCAGCATACACTGAGCATATGTATATCTATATGTATGAACAATGTTTCCAATGATATCAAAGACTGATTTTCCAAGACAGAAAGAAGTATAAATACTGAAATATGGCCTGACCCACAGCCCGCTTAAGTCTATGGGAAGTTTATTGACTTCAATGAGTTTTAGATGAATTTCTACACTATTTAAGTTCTAGGCTTTCTACTGTTTTTCAGATGTTATTTAACAAAGAAATATTCAATATCCAAAATGACTAACTGCACAGCTCTATTTCTTAAGTGAGGTCAGAGCTCTCATGTTGTCATCATCTTTCTATCTGTATAAGTTCTATTAGTACCATTTTAATAAAGTAGTAGCCTACTGGGTGAGACCACGTTCTACCCAGCCCAGTAGCCTGTCTCTGACTGTGACAAATACTGCATACTAGCCAATTGCCTATCAAGAATGATGGCAGGGAGGAGGGCGGGGGGGGGCACAGTGGCTTGCGTCTGGCCCCACTCCTCACCCCTCCAACCTTCGGGTCCGAGCTACGCTTCCTCTATCCACTCCATCGCTAGCATGTGGGGGTGGGGACAGAGGCCTGGGACCAGGCTCGCTCCCCCTACCCTCACCCCCACCACTTCAGGCCGCTCCCCCACCCGGGGAGCCAGCAGGGACAGAGCCCAATGTCCAGCCCTGAGCCCCCACTCCCCTCATCTGGCCCCATTTCACCCCCATTCAGGCCAGACCCTGTTCCTCTCCCCACCCTGTCACCACCACCACTGTCAGCCTGGGCCCGTTGGGAGGGAGCATTGTGGGAGAGAGAGAGGGAGCAAGGCCAGCAGCACTGGCTTCAGCCCCCTTTCTATATTTATTGCCTGCAGGGAGCAGGGCAGTCTTGACCTCACTCCCCACCATGCTGTGCCACCACACCTCCAAGGAGCAAAGAGGGGGCTCCTCTGACATCACCCCTCTGTTCCATCCGCTCTGTTGCCACTGCCTCCAGGGAGCTGGGGGGGGGGAGCTGGCCTCACCCCTCCCCCAGTCCCCATGCCACCACCATCATGGCAGCACTCCGCCACCTCCTGGCTGAATGCTGTATTTGCAATCTGATTGATTGTTTCCATCAGCCAATCAGAGTGTGAATAAAGTATTATGGACAGACAAACAGACAGACTATGGCTTTTATAATATTAGAATTTTAGCACGTCTAGTATCAAGGAATAAAGAATTGTACCCCAGTTTCTCATTTGTCCCAGGCTAGCACACTGACCACTGGATTGTCCTTCATTATCATCATAGGTTATCAGTGCTGGTGAATTAAAACCTAACTCAGAACAAACAACTCAGGAGAAAAAAAATGGCATCTCAAAGAGAATTCCACTAAATCTCCCCATGACAACTCTCGCTTCTTCTCCAGAGTAAATTTATTATGGAATATGCTTTAAATAGCATTTTATGTTTTTATTCTTTCCATTAGTGGTTCATAGGTCATGCTGTGCTTTTTTTATTTTGCAGATGCCTTTCATTTTAAGATAAATAGGGCCATGATCCAAAGACCCATTAAAATGATGGAGAGGTTCCCTTAGAAAACAATGGGCTTTAGATTGGGTACTGTGTTCCTCCACACCCCCCCCCCCCCCCCCCC